TACAAGTTGCGTGTTGACTTGCGTAAAGCTAGCGTGACCGCTTTAGCTGCCCTGGCGGAATATCCTCTCTTATTCAAGCACGCCTTGATACGGTCCATGTGTGTAGGCGGAACACCTTGGGGTTGCCGTGTGCTTGCTTTGTGTGTGGATGTACTAGCAAGTTCGTCCACTCTGGTAGTTGCAGTTGAGGCGGTCCTAGTTCTTGTATGAGAATGGGGAACAATATTCTCGCTGGCCAGTAAGGCGCGATCAAAATCAGTTGCAGGTTCCTCGTCTGCATGATTTTCTGCAACATTTTCGGTATTAGAGCTGGTGGCGGGAATGCGTAAGCGTTTAGTCCTTCCCAAGAGATGCTTAGAGCATCTGTTGCCCATGCTCGTGGATCTGGTATTGGAGAGACGAATGTTACCAGTTGATTGTTGAATCTTGTGGCAAACAAGTCTATAAGTGGCGCTCCTATCTCTTGTATGATCTGTTTGAAGATTTCTGGATGTGGCATCCATTCTGTTGGGGGATGGCTGAGTTGGACGAGATAGTGCTATCACATTCTTGGCTCCTGGAATGTGGCATGCTTTTATGTGGATGTTCAGGTTGTCTGTTATGCTGAACAGATGAAAGCACAGGTTCAGAAGGTTCGCCGACCTTGTTGACCCTTGTTTGTTTATGTAGAACGCCACTGTGGAGTTGTCCGTGTGTACCGTTAGATGAGCATTTCTTAGAATTGCTGGTCCAGTGGAGTATGGCGTTTATCACTGCTTTCATTTCTAGCATGTTGATATGCAGATCTTTCTCTTGTAACGTCCATTTCCCAGCTGACACTTCGTTGTCGAGGTGTGCTCCCCATCCTTGGAGAGATGCGTCCACATAGAGATGTGTTTTGCACTCCGGCTCTGCTAAGTAGGTGCCTCCGCAAACATTTGATCTCTGAGTCCACCATAGTAGATATGGTTTTAGTCTGTCTGGGAGTCCGAAGGGGTCTGGATCGTCCAGATGTGCAATTACGAAGACCTGTAGTGGGCGTAGTTGTAATCTCCCTCTGCGCGTCATATCTTGTGCTGATGTGAGGAGACCCAACAACTCTGCCACTGTCGGAGTGGCCACGGAGAGAGTAGAGCTTGCGATACCATCTGTTGTATCTTTAGCCAACGGTCCTCTGGTACTGTTATGCGGTTTTCTGTTGTGATGAGCCGAATTCCTAGGAACTGTAGGTCCTGTGTAGGCTCTAGTTCCGACTTGAGGAGATTCACTAGCCACCCTTGTTGAGTGAGAAGCCTGATGGTAAAGTCCTGCTGTAGTCTGAGATGACTGGGATCTTGATGAGCCTGAATCCCATCGTCAAAGTAGAATGCACTGCGTAGACCTCGATGATGTAGGTATGTGACTATGGGCTTCGTCACTCTTGTAAACAACCAGGGGGTCGATGATATTCCAAATGGCAGGACTTTCCATTGGTAGTGTCGTCCGTCTAGTAGGAATCTGAGGTACTTCCTTGATTCCGGGTGTATAGGAATGTGCAGATATGCGTCCTGTAAATCTATGCTGGCCATATGGTCCAACGGACAGACGAGATGTAGTAGTTGAGGCAGATGAATCATTTTGAATTTTTCTGGTTTCCGTAGATAATCTCTGTTGAATGTCCTCATGTTGTAAATTAGTCGGAACTTTTCTTTGGAGTTTTTCTTTGGTACGAGGAAAACTGGGGAGTAGAATCCTGGTGAGATCTGGTCCTGGTCTATCACCTCTATAGCGTCCTTCTCTAGTAGAGATGTGACCGCTTCTTGCAGCCTCTCTGTCCGATGGGTCGCAAAGTTTAACCCCTGAGGTGCGTCTGTTAATGGAGGGGCTGCTTGTAGTTGTATTTGATATCCTTCTCTTAGGATGTTGGATACAAATTGGTCTTGAAGAATTCCCCAGTTCTCCCAGTAGCGTTGTAGACGTCCACCCACTTGGGAAGGTTGAACAGGAACGGTTGGGGGTGGAAGACTCCAGTCGTTCCGAACCCGTCCTTCATCGTCTAAAGCCTCTGGCACCTCTGGGTGCCCTGCCTCGTCCGGATCGTCCTCTATAGTTACCGGATGGGCGACGAAAAGAATCCTTTCCTCCTTTGGAGGTCCCCATTTTCTTTTCTCTTGCTTTCTGGATGCCTGCAAATTTAGATTTGCCAGAGTAGCGTTGGGACGTCTGCCTGATGACACTGGCTAGTGTATCAATGGACTTTATCATCATGACTTCCCTGGCAACCTCGTCAATCTCCCCTGCGAAGATTGATGTTGTGGACCATGGAGCTCTGTAGAGAGTCTTAGTGAAGCGTTCACTCCAGTTACATGAAGACAATAGACCTTGTCTTCTGGCAAGCGTCAATGCTGCTGATATGGATGATAAATGCTCTGACATAAATTGGTGGTCCTTTTTCTGCATTAGTAAGGCAGAATAAATCATCTGGTCTTCCTCTGCAGTTGAGTTCCTGAACTTGGAGATGAGCGTTTCATTAATTGCCCTGGATCTGTTAAGTCCGAAGAACATCCTTCATAGTGTCTATCTGTGCCAGCTTTTTGTCATCAATCTTGTAAGATTTGGTCCGGGAGTCATTGATGATTTTATAGTTCTCATCTATCTCTTGTGCCTTCATAAAGGGGTCCATGTTATGTAGAGAGAACTTCTTTGCGTTGAACTGTGGGATATTTGGAGACTGGAACTTTGTTGCCTTCCTGAAGGCTGCGTCTAGGTCCTCTGGTACGTCCGAGACCGGGTCAATTGGAGGTAGAGTGATAGTGTCCACATCATCGTCCTTCATTAGGTACGTGAATGCTTCATTCTCTTCCTTAGAGGGTGACGCTAGGTCCAGTCCATTAGCCATCCAATATTTTATCTCTGAGTCCGAAAATATGATTCCGCCATCATCCTCTGTATCATGTACACTTGTATATGATCGTTGAATATCCATCGTGCATGGAGATCTGCGTGGCGATCTACGTGGCGATCTGTGTGGAGATGAGTACGTTGAACTACGTGTAGTTCTAAGAGGAGATCTGTATGGCGACCTGCGTGGAGGTTAGCGTCTTCTTGACCGGGATTGCCTTCCTGAAGGCAATATATTTCTATGTGGTGAATCCCGTGACGACCTGCGAGGTGTTGTTGACGCCCTTGATGATAATTCAGAAGACCTTCGCGCAGGTGAGAGGTTTTGTTGAGGGTCTGAGTCCCGAGACGTCTCTCTAAACCTTCTAGGAGGTGTAGGTTTCTTCCTCTGTGAAGTGGGTAGCCTGCGTGAAGGTTCTTCATTAGCCTCATCCTCTGATGACGATCTATTTTGTTCGAAGAACGTGCCCTCCTTCGCCCAGGTTTGGTGACGTCATGCAGTGTAGGTCTGCTCTTAGTCCTAGAGCTAGATCCTCTGGTAGGCCTCTCAGATGTATCATCAGTGTGGGGTCCTTCGTGCAGCACTGGTTCCTCTCCCGAGGTTGATGACTTGGGCATGAGAGCCGCCTGGCTGTCCATCATGCGAGGTTCTTTCCTGCGCGAAGCACTTCTCCATCATTTCCATCATTTGTTGAGAGAATTGCTGCATGAAGGACCCGGGGTTGAATGTCTGCGATGACTGTAGTGATGTCGCATCTGAGAGGGTAGCGATATGGTCCAGGGATCACTGTGCCTCATGGATCTCTGCTGTCAGTGTAGAAGGTACCTCGGACTGCGTAGAGAGGGTTGCTGACGTTACCGTTGCTGAGGCTGCGTCCTTTTCTTATGCAGTATCTCTGGGATGAGTATCAACGGCTCATCATATAAGCCTCTTTCTTCCATCGGGACGATTTCAGCAGAAAATGTCCTCGTAGTCTGTGAAGAACTCCCAGTAGAGCTGGTTGGAGCCTTAAGGGTGTAAGGCTTCTTCTGCAACAAAGATGGCCTCTTTTTCTTCATATGGGTTGAGGAGTTGTCCGACGTAGAAGACCTTTTCTTCGACGTAATGGCGGACCTCATCCCACGCCCATCTTCTGAGGACGCCTCCGGCAGGTCACTGGATGGAAGTATGTCGTCTGACAACGATAGACAGCTCTTTAGGGACTCAGCCGGTTTAGCCATAACTTGCAAAAGTCGCCTGGATTTATCCTTAGCACGCCTAAGTACAGAGAAATAATAATTATCAAATTAAATTTTTGTTAATTGCTGACATAATTTACAGCGAGAGCTGGAAGTACATATTGTTGTGCAACTGGGGCACAATAAATGCGGGTCTGCAGCAGAGAACCTAAACCTACAACGAAAACAGGTTTTCATGAAATGTAAACAAACTGAACAATCACGTGAAACCGTGAATAAACAGTCAAATTTGCTAATAAATTTCAAACCATATTGTAGAAGGATACTCCCTGAAACCTTATAAAGGTAACTTATAAGGGAGGGAGACAACTCATGGTGAGTAGTGATTTTACGTCTGCTTTTTTTAAGGGAGCTTCAAAAGGAGATACAAGTGTTCCACTGACGTTCGCGGAAGGAAGGAGACAAGCAATAATACATGAGTCAGGATAAGGAAAAATATGTAGGTTTGGTTTTTTAGTTTTCCTAAACAAGTTTGCCCCTTTATTTTTATTTTTATTCATTTTCTTGTGTTGTGTCTATAGTTGAGGGAAATTGGAACACCTGGCCAGGAACCATTTACAGAACACGTAGGCAAGGAGGACTGACCACATAAAATAAGAACGAGAGAACACAACGCAAAGCACAGTCAGTAGCCATCTGACTCTTGCCATATACATCTACCTTGTTCTGCTGTCACAGGGCATTTGTCTAACAAACCTCACGCGCTAGGCGCCTATTACATTACAAATAGTAGAACTGTGTGTCTATAGCTACATCACAACAACTCTGGCATGTGTCAAAACATTATGCTCATAATGCGTAATGCTTCAGTAATAGACATTTGTTAAGCTGAGGATGAGAATTTTGGCCATTCATTTTCTCACAAAAGATCACCTTCATTACATAACCAAACTACTACCTACCTGATGTGCTTCAGTATTGAGTGGCTGTTCAAATTCGGCCTGACTACATAAAGACACCATTCCATCACTGTAGCCCACTGCAAACCTCCGATCGTCATTGAACCATGCTATTTGAGTCACCGATACTGAAACAGTATCAAATGTTGCTGTCTGACAGGTCTATTCCGTGAATTTGAATTCAATACTCAGCAATGAGAATAAAACTACCGGTAAGCAATATTAAAATGGCACAGGAAAATTGTACAAACTACTACCATACAATAGTCTAATGAAAAGAACATTTGATCAGTATAGAAACATTTACACATGACACAATCCGCTGGTTTTCCAAGGCAACCGAAAGGATTGGGAGCATGTCCTTGTACAGCATGTCTTGTTGCTCTCGTTGTCAATAACTGGATTGTCTGTCCCAGACAGATACTTACAGGCTACTGTCATATATCTGGAATACTGCCAAGTGCAGTGTTAAATAACAAACATTACATTTGTAATGTCAGATATTCCGCTTTGAAATTCTCTGCTCTAACTTTACTTGAATATAGAATTTTTTAACATCATGTACAAGGCCGCATACCATTCCTCCTGTAGCAGTGTTCCAGCTCCTGTCTTCGGTAGGTAGAGCTGTCCAGGGTCTGTATGCTGGCCAGTGAGCCATCAAGTCGTCCCACTAACAAAACATCTGTGGACAGTCCTAGCTGGCCATCAAACATCCCTTTAGACTGTGGCCAGGTGAGAGCTGTCACCCAGTGAGGCTGGATGTCCAGGTATCCTTTCCCACCTTCATAGTGCACAGAAATCAGTACTCGATTGCACAAACATAAAACACATAAGGATAAATGTCAAACTTGTTCGACGAAAGTCAAATAAGGTGTAGGTACATAGTCACCATTAATGACATAACTGAACCATATATGTGTTGATAAAATCCAGACTATACTATGATTTTTTCATGCACTCTTTGCTTTACCTGAAATTGTATATGACAGCTCATAGAACCTCTAATGTAACAGTGTAGTGTCAATACCAGCAGAAGGAGGCAAGCACCATTTTATCTGACATTCTTAATTATACATGTTAAGAAAGTACACTGTCGGATGCCATCACTCTCACCTCCAATGATCCAGATATTGATCATGTTGTCCATACATGCTGCAATCATTTTCCCTGAGCTGCTCCAGCAAACATTAGACAAGGGACTGTTGTCCAGGCTGTCTACTACTGAAACATCATCTCCTTGGTTGAAGATGCAGGTCTGCTGCAGGAACTGATGGGTCTTGTTGGGCAGACTCCACACCCGCACTGTACCATCATATGCACTAGTAGAACACAGGAAACTTGATGCTTTAGTCACCAAACAAATGATGGGAGTCCATCACAAACGTGAATACTGATTTCAACATAATTATTAAGGTACATTGACAAGTAGGTTTCACTCTTTGTGAGGACACAAAGGACGTAATTAACACCTGCATACCCTATGCAATATTATCATAAACTTGTCATTAAGCAAGCAATATGATCACGGTAAGTGAATATTGTTTCACAGCAGTCAGCAGTATTCCCACTCAGTCATACCAGTGGCTGATTATGTGAGCAGCGATCCATGTTTTGGGGGTACATTGACACACATTGATCAGTCAGGTACATGATATAAGTACGTAATCCTTATCTTAGTTAGCTCCAACAACATATCAGGTACACTGGTGACCTGGGCCCTTATTCTCGAAACGTTCGTAGCCCTAAGAATTCTTAACTTTGATCGTAGCCAATGTATTAAGAATGGGCTTGAGAAGTTCGTAGGGCTAAGAACGTTTCGAGAATAGCTAGTCTGGTTAGTTCAAGAAACCTTCTGATGTTGATACAACATGTTTGGGGCAATATCAATAACATCAACATGTAAAATCACAGTTTCATGAGCTAAACATACCCTGAAGCAAGCAGCGTTTTCTTGCAGTTCCAGGAACATCCAGACAGTCTATTCTGATGAGCCTCAAGTTTGGACACAGGGCAGGGAGGCAGGTCTCCCACTAGATCCACTTGGTTCTCAGACATGTAGGGGACACTTTGGCCCTGAGCAGACAGGGCCTGTACAAGCTGGTATGCTGACCACTGACGATGGTGAGAGGGCATCCGAGCAGAGATCACACATGCAGAGAGCGCATTGATGAGTTGGAGCGGGGAGAATTTTGTTTCATCTGATGATGCACTCTCACTGGGGGTATCTGAACAGAAAACAGGTTATATGCAGTGCTGACTTAAGGTATTCATAAAACCCAGGTTTTGAAGTACACGTTTCCAAACCTCATATCAGGTTAAATTTATACAAACCTGTAGAGGTTATGAATTCTTTGAAGAAAGTCCTCCTTGGGGTACTTATAAGCATTAAAATGTCCATTTTGAAACCTACGACAGTTGTAACTATATTTCAATAAAAATATTTACAAAACGAAAAAACACGTTCTGCGTTATGAGACCACCCCTACAGGGCCCCGGCGGGGCCCCCTACCGGCAAGAGCAGGTAACTCTAGCCGACAACCTCGCACCTCACTTTTCATGCTAAACGGATCAGACAGAATGAGGGGAGGCGGGTGGCCGTACCCCAAGGAGGACTTTCTTCAAAGAATTCATAACCTCTACAGGTTTGTATAATTCTTTTTCAGAAGAAGTCCTCCTTGGGGTACTTATAAGCATAAAACAGACTCCCAAAGATCAGAAAACCGGGAGTGGCATTCTGTCTGACACACAGGTGCGAACATGATAACGTAGTACAGCCGTATGAAAATAGAAATCACACTTACCCAGTCACGTGTCTGCCAATGTCAATCAAGGCGGGGGGCGTGACTAAGGCGAGGACCCTGGGAGGTCAAAGCTTAGTGCCCATTGGTCAATTGGTACACACCCCCAAGATAAAACTCCACCTCCCATCCTGATTGGTGGAAGTGAGTAAAAACTAGGGACTCGCCAAAACAAACTACTGTCCATAGCACACCGCTAGCCAAGCGGGGAAAATGGAAAATATAAGCCAAAGGCACCGATACCAAAAGAACGGAAATAAAAAACGCCACCACATACCTTCACCAGTGCAAAATAGGGGAGAATAGACCCGACACCAGTATAAAACACTGAGTAAATCAGCGACAAGGCTCACTCGGCCTGAGGCGTGTTACTCTGTCCACTGTGGAGAATCGTTTGGCCAAACCGAGCACGCTCACGCGAATGTTTGTACAGCTGATAATGGCGAATGAACGTACTCGGTCGGCTCCAAATAGCCGCAGAGCAGATCTCCTTAATGGGCAGAGCAGCAGCATACACTTTAGACGTGGCAACTGCTCGAACCGAATGAGCCTTTAAACCCTCTGGGGGAGTCATACCCTTGTGTATGTAACCCATACAAATCGCCGACACGATCCACCTCGATATGGTCTGTGTGGTAACTGGGTGACCTACTTTACCACCCCGTAACAGCAGAATAACTGCTTCTCTTTACGGATTGACATTGTTCTCTTGACATACGTCTTAAGTGTCTTACGTACATCCAACACATGTACTCTGCGGTTTGCGCTACCAGACGAAGCAGGAAGCGTAAAGGCAGGCAAATCAATAGAGGCGGTGACATGAAGCGCTTTATCGATTTTTTTGGTAGGAATCAGGTAAATGAATACTTACCCTATCCTTGTGAAAAACGGTAAGCTCCGGGTCTGAGGACATAGCATGAATGTCTCCCACCCGTCTACCTGAAGTAATGGCCACCAAAAATGCCGCTTTCCAACTTAACAGTTGAAGCGACAATCCCGACATATCGTAGAAGAAAGGACTAGATAGCCAATCTAAAATGATGAACAGATCCCATGGCGGACTTGTCTGTCGGACGACCGGACGCACTCTGTCCACACCTGCTAAGAAACGCTGAACCAGAGGGTGTTGTCCTAAAAGGGCACCCTCGGTAGGAATGTGGAAAGCTGAAATAGCTGTGGAGTAGCCTCGGATAGTAGACGCGGCTAGGCCGGCTTCCAACCGAGACTGTAAAAATTCCAAAACTTCGACTACAGTTGAAGAAAAGGGATCAAGTATCCCTCTGTTTCCACACCAGCGCGCATAACAGGCCCATCTATCCTCATACTGTAAGTTAGTCGAATCCCTCGGCGAAGCCAGAATTGTGTCTGCAACTGGTGCAGGAATTCCGCTCGCACGGAGGCGACTCCTGACAGTGGCCAAGCCACCCACTGGATCCATGGATCCGGGTGTGGCTGGCCCTCCTGGGATAGGAGGTCCGGTCGCATCGGTAATAGCACAGGAGGCTGTACTAGCGATCTGAGTATTACCGGGAACCAGCGTTGAGACGACCACAGAGGTGCAAGAAGCACAAGTAGTCGCGCTGGTTGGGTGGCTAGCTGCGATAGGACTCTGGGAATAAGGGGTATCGGTGGGAAAGCCCACAGCACCCTGTCCGTCCAATCTAGCTGAAAGGCATCAGAGGCGATGCTCCCGGATCCGGGATCTTGGAACAAAACACTGGAGTCTGGTTCGTCACCCCAGAGGCAAACAGATCCACCTGGAACGACCCGAACAACTGGAGATAGCCCCGAATATCTCCCGGTCGAGTAACCACTCGTGAGGGGCCAGGATACGACGTGAGAGTGCATCTGCACGCACGTTGTCCTCCCCCGGGAGATACACAGATAATACCCGTGTGTTGAACCGGTCGCACCACAGCAGAAACTGCCACGCCTCCTGGAGGAGTGACGGAGACACGTACTGCCCTGCTTCAGGATATAGGACATCGCCATTTGATTGTCCATTTCTAGACGAACCACACGGTTCCGAACCTGCTCCATGAAGCGTAGGCACCGGGGTCTCCAGTGGGATACCCCTGACTAGATTCCCGGTGTCGGTCCACCACCTCAGGTGGGGGAGAAGCCACTCTGGAGTTAGGAGAATTGTCTCGTAACTCCCCGAGTGTGACCACAGCTGTGCTAATGCTTGCTGAACTGGCCGCATCCTCAGACGCGCACGCCAAACTACGTCCACCGTCGCCACCATGTTGCCTAGCAACTGAAGCCATGTGCGTGCTGAGGCCCTGGGGGACTGAAGGAATTGTAAAACAACCCTTTGGACTTTGGAAATGCGGTCTTGAGACAGAGAGACTAAGCCCTGCTGTGTCTCGAATCTCGCCCCCAAGAAAACCAGATCCTGGGATGGAACCAGCTCGGATTTCTTGAGGTTGATGACCCAACCCAACCTGGTGAGAATATCCATCACTGTCTGTGTGGATTCCCGACTCAAGTGAGTGGAAAGCGCCCTGAGCAGCCAGTCGTCCAGGTACGGGTAACAAAAGTTGCCCTGTGCCCTGGCGACTTGAGCTGGCACTAGCATGAGTTTTGTGAACACCCTTGGCGCCGTGGAGATGCCGAAGGGGAGCACACGAAACTGATAGCACCTCCCGTCGAGGGAAAACCGGAGGTATTTCCTGAACTCGGGGTGCATTGGTACATGAAGGTACGCGTCCTTGAGGTCGATTGACGTAAGCCAATCCCCTGCCTCCACAGATGAGATCACCAACCGCAGTGTCTCCATCTTGAAGGACGGTACCTCTAGCAAACTGTTCAGACCCTTTAAATTGAGAATGGGTCTGAACCCTCCGTCCTTCTTGGTAACCAGGAAATAGGTTGAGTAAACCCCTAGATTTTCCTGGCCCGTCGGAACCACCTCGATGGCTGCCTTGTCCAGCAACGCCTGGACCTCGGCACGGAGAACATCGGCCTTTTCCGGAGAGTTCGGCACTGGCGTGCAACGAATCCCGGAGAAAGGAGGAGGGCCTCGCTTCCACTGTGGCATATGACCATCCCTGAGTGTGGACAGGACCCAGGGATTTGATGTGACTTTCTCCCATTCCCGAAGGAAGAGAGGTAGCCGGCCGCCGACAGGGACGTCGGGTAAGAGGCAGTGAATCCCGGCAGTCGGTAGTGTAACAACCGCTTGTGCGGGACCAACAAGGGCTCCGGAGGAATGCTTACTGGGAAGCCGGGGCCGACTTCCCCTTCCTCTGAAAATGCTGCTGAGAGGAGGCAGCCTTGCCCCTACCTCTACCCCTGCCCTTGCCTCTACGTGCCTGAAGTGGAGCCGTCCACTTGGGCGCTTCCTTTCCTGAAGAGGAAGGGTAAGCTGAGGCAAGGACGGAAGGCCAGGCGCGAGCAGTGAGGGGTTGCTCGAGTAAGGGCTTTGAGTCCTTAAACTGGCTAACCGCCTCCAGCGGCCTCCTGACCACTGTCAATGCCCCGGGAACAGGGTTGAGCCCATCCTGAACGGCAGAGACAACAGCGCCTGCTGTGTAGCCGGTGAATATCTGGCCACAGACAGCCACAACCGACGGAGGCCCATAACCGCAGACATCATCTGGCTAGTGCACGACCGAATGGCGTCGCGTGCCAGATGTGAATGCACCTCCGTGAGCTGCCTCGCTAACGTGGACGACGACGCATCGTCGTCCAGGCCCTCCTGGTCCACCAGCTTCCTCTGCAGGGCCGAGAGGTATGCTGAGTGGACGGAAACCTTAAGTTGTTGAACGGCGTTACGGTATTGTTCTTCAAAGGAACAACATTACGAATTCAACACCTGGTTGTTGGAAGTAAACGGAGGCGAACGCCGACCCTGACAAGCCGACGCGTGGCTATGGCCAGATGACCCCCCAGGGCGACTGAGGCATAAATGCACTCATCTACCACCGGGGGGTCATAAAGACCCCCCTCTCCCAACAGGTAGCGCCGGTTCAGCTCCGGGAGATCGAAGCGTGACCTGCCACCTGAGAGGAGAGGGTTAATAACCTCACTGATCAGTGAAGGTAAAATACGCAAGTGGGCCTCGGCGACCCGACACGGAGCAAACGCCTCCCCCGGGAGACGAAACTCCGCGGGTTCGGGGTCATCTGACGGCACGACCACCTGCGGCAAAATGGAAGCAATGCGTTCCCTTACTTGCCGCAGGGACGGACCAAGCGCGAAGTAACCTTCCCCCGGGGCCTCATGCCCCCCGTCCTCATCCATGGCTTCCTCCTCCCGCTCCCCCGGAAGCAAACTCTCGGTATCCAGAGTCGCCTCCGAGAGCACGGAAGTTGGCTCCACAGACAAAGATAGGGGAGCCAAAAGAGCCAAGGCGCCTGGCCCGACTGACCCTAGGCTCGAGGATGAGCCAGGTTGCCGAGGACCCAGGGAAGAGCCTGCCGAAACAGGATTCCCCGAAGTAACGTAAGGCCCGAGTCGACCGGTAGCACCGGCGCTCGGGAAACTCCCGCTTGTGAGCTGGTGGCCAACGGTGCGAGACCCTATATCCACAGCTAATGCACGCTGCCCTGAACGGAGCGAAGCTCGGGCCAGCCACAGGCGCACCAGCAGAGGGGTCACCAGAGCCAAGGCTCAAGGCAACGACCCCTCCGGGGGTAGAACCCGGCCCCGGACCGTAGCCTGAGGCAGGGGAACCCCCGACAGACGACCTCGGAGCGCCGCCAACTCCCGAACGAAAGCCGATCTCCTCACGGAGACCGGACATCGCGTCCGTGATCAGCGAGCGAACCGAAGTCATCTGTTGCTGCAATATGGAAGTTAAATCATTAATACAGAGGGGTGCAGAATCTGATTGAGTGGAAGTGGAGGGGATAGGGGAAGAAGGTTTATCCGCCGTCTTGGCCCGCTTACCCCCACCCCCGCTAGTAGAAGAAGAACTCTTCTTACTTTTAGCCACTTTAGATGGTGGGTCCTGAGCCCGTAAGTCCCCCCCCCGGCTGCAGCAGATTTGTATAAAACAAAAAATCGGCGGATCGACGCTTAGTCGTCTTGGGTGAGAAAATCTGGCAACTCTCACACGATTGATCATCATGATGCTCAACAGCCAAACAACGTAGGCACACATCGTGCGAATCCTGTGGTGGCAACATGGCCGCACATGCAACGCACGGGTGAAACTGTAACAAACAGAACCATTTTTAATGGAAACTGATGTACAGTCTAAAATACACACATATATGCAACACAAGTAAAATATAATACGCACGGGCGATACACCCTATGTGAAAAGCTAAGGCAGTTTTACCCTTTAACATGTATCATGAACAAGGGGCGAAAATGCAAGCTACCTGCGTAACATATACAGCGTAAAAAATATGAAAAAACTTACCCAACTCACCTTACATTGCGGGAAGTGAAAACGTTAGGCAAGCCTACAATAGTAATGTACAAGAAATTACCCTACCACCCTAGCGATGTAACTTAAAAAAGTTACCACCGTAGGACAGAAGGAAGCCAAACCGACCGCCATCTTGCCTGCCACATGGCTGGAAAATGGAGCCTGCCCGACTAAGTTACAACAATCATGAATGAAAAAATCAACCTACAATTCCATCTAGCACCCGTGCGAGAGAAAAGAGGAACCATACATACATTAGTTGATTCTTTAACACTCATTTTCATCAATGAACGACGCGCACATCTCTCTTCTAAGACGACAGCATGAAAAGTGAGGTGCGAGGTTGTTGGCTAGAGTTACCTGCTCTTGCCGGTAGGGGGCCCCGCGGGGGCCCTGTAAGGGTGGTCTCATAACGCAGAACGTGTTTTTTCGTTTTGTAAATATTTTTATTGAAATATAGTTACAACTGTCGTAGGTTTCAAAATGGACATTTTAATGCTTATAAGTACCCCAAGGAGGACTTCTTCTGAAAAAGAATTCGACCATTTCATAACCTAAGTTTTGAAATGGTCGTTATTTAACCTGATACAAGGTTTTCAAATGACCATTATTTATGATTCATACAACTTTGTCTTGCTATGACTGTTTGTAAAATATATCATTATTGAAAACTTCCAATATATAGTGGCGATAACTGGTTTCGAACCTGCAACCCTTCGCTCTCTAGCTTGGCAGTTTTATCCACTAGGCTACGAAGGATCGCTGTGAAGAATGAGATTGTTTGTCAGTATGAACCATGTGTTCCTCACAAGACGGGTACTGCGGGCAGCGCACATGCAGGACACGGGTAGCATGTGCATTGCGCGTGTGAGTCAAGATGTTGGCTGCCAGCCGCATCCCAGTTGACACCGGCTGTTCCATCATTTGCGGGCTGTTCCATCATTTGAAGTCGAATGAAGTGAAGTGTTTAAGAAAATGGTGGTGGAGTATGACTGAGCTTCCCTATTTATTTTACAAAACAACCCCAAGTGCTACACTACCTTTGTCCAGAGAGAGTTGAGCTTGGATAAGCTTCTGACTCCATCCCTTCTGAGCTAGCAGGGACACAAGAGCCTGGGTAACTGCAAATGTTGGAGAGTCTGGCACTTTGTGTGGCGAGTGTCTGGAGCTGGTGGTATCCTCCATGCTACTTGTACTAAGGCCCATGGCTGCCAGCATCAATTCCTGTCACATTGCAGACTTCACATGTACAACTGAACATGATGGAACATGATCTGTAGCATTTCGCAAGGTATTAAAGAAGACTTCTCTGACATGGTTGTTAGATTATTTCTGACCAGCAGATAATGTCGTTCTTCAAAGGCATTTAGAAGTTGGATCAACATAAATACATGACACCATTTATGGATAACAACTTCTTTTCATTCTTTATCACAACATCTCAGAATTATTCAGGATTACAGTGTACATTTGAGATACTGTGGAATGGCACCAAAATGTTTCTTATTTGAAGCCTATCATATTTTCAACAGCAATCCTAAACTCACTAAAACACAAGCAAACCCAACCAGATATACTGCAAATGTTTAGAAAAAAACACCAAACCAATTTGTTTGGGTCCCTCTGAAATCACATTTCCCCAGGGTAAAAATAAATGTGCGAGTCACAGAGTAATCCATATTGTTTAAATATCTCACAAACAGTCTCATTCACTTTTAAGGCTGAGGGATAGATTTATGTAAGTTAAAATCTTAAAAGGGTACTGCTTGTAGTTAAATCTTAATTATATTGATTTCAGACTCATGTGGCTGCACATACCTGTGTACAGAGGGAGATGAGCTGCTGAAGTGAGACAGGACTCTCCTGAACAAGAGCCCCAATGGCGGTTGTGAGATAGCGCAGGTACTCGGACTGATCACGTTGCTGGGTATGGGACATCTCTATCTTCCCTGCAGCACACAGGGACATCAGTCTCACAATCTGCATGATGTCAGCCAGGCCAATGTGATCTAATGCAGCTGAAAGGCAACATGAGCTGCCACTGAAAATGAACAAGAATAGATCATTTCCTTTGCAAAACTGAGTAACAGTCAGTAACTTCAGGTTGTTTCATAAATATAGTAGTGAAACATAACTCTCTTTAATAAATATTCATCAGAGAGTATCTTATTGTTCAACAATTTTTTCTATCCCATCAGAGCTGGCAACACCTGTGTTGCTCTTCAGAGCAAACACCTTTACCACTGGCCAGCCTACCATCCCAGATACAGTAGAATATGACTGACAATACCTCTGAGCCAGCAGGCCAACATCCAAACCACAAAACTACCCTACCACCTCCAGATCCAATAGAACATGACAAAACATACCTCTGACCCAGCAGGGGAACATCCTAACCACAAGGTTTACCCCACTACCTCCAGATGTAGTACAACCTGATTGAACATACCTCCGACCCAGCAGGGGAACATCCTAACCACAAGGTTTACCCCACTACCTCCAGATGTAGTACAACCTGATTGAACATACCTCTGACCCAGCAGGGGAACATCCTAACCACAAGGTTTACCCCACTACCTCCAGATGTAATACAACCTGATTGAACATACCTCTGACCCACCAGGGGAACATCCTAACCACAAGGTTTACCCCACTACCTCCAGATGTAGTACAACCTGATTGAACATACCTCTGACCCAGCAGGGGAACACCCTAACCACAAGGTTTACCCCACTACCTCCAGATGTAGTACAACCTGATTGAACATACCTCTGACCCACCAGGGGAACATCCTAACCACAAGGTTTACCCCACTACCTCCAGATGTAATACAACCTGATTGAACATACCTCTGTGCCAGCAGGGGAACATCCTAACCACAAGGTTTACCCCACTACCTCCAGATGTAGTACAACCTGATTGAACATACCTCTGACCCAGCAGGGGAACATCCTAACCACAAGGTTTACCCCACTACCTCCAGATGTAGTACAACCTGATTGAACATACCTCTGTGCCAGCAGGGGAACATCCTAACCACAAGGTTTACCCCACTACCTCCAGATGTAGTACAACCTGATTGAACATACCTCTGACCCAGCAGGGGAACATCCTAACCACAAGGTTTACCCCACTACCTCCAGATGTAGTACAACCTGATTGAACATACCTCTGTGCCAGCAGGGGAACATCCTAACCACAAGGTTTACCCCACTACCTCCAGATGTAGTACAACCTGATTGAACATACCTCTGTGCCAGCAGGGGAACATCCTAACCACAAGGTTTACCCCACTACCTCCAGATGTAGTACAACCTGATTGAACATACCTCTGTGCCAGCAGGGGAACATCCTAACCACAAGGTTTACCCCACTACCTCCAGATGTAATACAACCTGATTGAACATACCTCTGTGCCAGCAGGGGAACATCCTAACCACAAGGTTTACCCACTACCTCCAGATGTAGTACAACCTGATTGAACATACCTCTGTGCCAGCAGGGGAACATCCTAACCACAAGGTTTACCCCACTACCTCCAGATGTAGTACAACCTGATTGAACATACCTCTGTGCCAGCAGGGGAACATCCTAACCACAAGGTTTACTTCCCACTACCTCCAGATGTAGTACAACCTGATTGAACATACCTCTGTGCCAGCAGGGGAACATCCTAACCACAAGGTTTACCCCACTACCTCCAGATGTAGTACAACCTGATTGAACATACCTCTGTGCCAGCAGGGGAACATCCTAACCACAAGGTTTACCCCACTACCTCCAGATGTAGTACAACCTGATTGAACATACCTCTGTGCCAGCAGGGGAACATCCTAACCACAAGGTTTACCCCACTACCTCCAGATGTAGTACAACCTGATTGAACATACCTCTGTGCCAGCAGGGGAACATCCTAACCACAAGGTTTACCCCACTACCTCCAGATGTAGTACAACCTGATTGAACATACCTCCGACCCAGCAGGGGAACATCCTAACCACAAGGTTTACCCCACTACCTCCAGATGTAATACAACCTGATTGAACATACCTCTGTGCCAGCAGGGGAACATCCTAACCACAAGGTTTACCCCACTACCTCCAGATGTAGTACAACCTGATTGAACATACCTCCGACCCAGCAGGGGAACATCCTAACCACAAGGTTTACCCCACTACCTCCAGATGTAGTAGAACCTAACTGAACATACCTCTGTGCCAGCAGAGTCAGAACCTTCATGACCATGGTTCGAGCCAACAACACCTGTGTGGCTGCAGTGGTCCTCCTCAGGGCCAACAGACGATCAGCACTACTCTGAAGACATGTGGCCTGTTCACCAAGAGATTTCTGTTTGGGATCGAGCTTACTTGATTTGTAGAAGCTACCTACAAATAAAATAAAAATGAACAATTTAAACATTTGTTGACATTATAGTTTATTACAACGTAATTCTAAGATGCTGTAAACTTAGTAAATTAAGTTTTCTTAAAAGATTGAACAACTGTGAGTATTTAGAAATTTGAACCAACCTGCAGACTCTTTGAAGAGAGTCCTCCTTGGGGTACTTATAAGCATTATCTATGTCCATTAAAAATTCCTATGACAGTTGTAACTATATTTTGAATAAAATATTTCCAAAACAAGAAAACCAGGTTTGTCTTGTTCGACCACCCCTGCAGGGCCCCACAAGCAAAAGAAGGTAACTCAAACCTTCAACCTCATACCTGACTTCCATGCTGACCATGATCAGACAGAATGTGGGGAGGTGGGTGGCCCTACCCCAAGGAAGACTCTCTTCAAAGAATCAGCAACCTCTGCAGGTTGTTTCAATTCTTTTCAGAAGAGAACCGCCTTTGTGTATTTATAAGCATAAGACAGACTCCCAAAGAATAGAGTCATAGGAATTTTTAATGGACATAAAAAAATGCTTACAAGTACCCCAAGGAGGACCTCTTCTGAAAATGAATTCAAAGTGTGACAAAACTTACTAAGAGATTCTGTTGTTACTTCTGAAGTACTGTTAGAGACAGATTTTGCCCCAAGAGCATCAGGCTCTAGGAATCGGACAGCTTCAGGAATAGACTTGCGATCACTCAAGCCAAGACGAGGTAGCAGCTTCTGATAGCTGTCAGCACTGATGTTGATACCGCTGTCCTCAGATAGAAATGCTAGTTCATCTAAACACAAACAAAAAGGTTGCACCTCATATGAACTGATTTTGCTAAACATGCCAAAAATGATGTTGTTAATGTCAGTGATGATCATATCTGATGTTACTCTGCTTCAACACTGACAAACACTGGATATATACAAATGGTGACAAAACAAGGGACATTATTGTTTCAAGTGGGCAATTACATGGGCATTCCCATCAAGTTTGTCTCCACTTTTCTTGATGGCTCTTACTTAGCTCTCTACTAATCTCCTCCAGTTATGACAAGTTATACAACAGCCAGAGCTCTTCCCATGGAGATATCTGCTGCAGTTTTATTAAGCAATGATTGGTATTATTTGCCAGTAACCATGGCATATTACCATCCAGTCCTCCATCTGTGGCTCCCAGCAGATCTGGTGCCGACTTGTCAGTGTTGCCCTCTGTCACAGACTCTGGAACTATGCTGGTGCTGTGCTTCCTCTGCAGCAGGTAACGGTCTCGACAGTCCCGACACAGTAAGTAGTGGGGATGCCCTGACCCACAGATACCCCCATAGCCGACTTGCTCATACCGTCCTGTACCATCATAGCCATGGCCACGGCTGATTCCTGGAGTAGGAATTATTAGAGTGTGTAGGTGCATGTGATGTTTTCTTTATTATCAGGAACAAAAAGGAAGTAACCTGCAACCAGCACTGGCCATATAGTCTTAACTACAGCAATTACTATTAGCCATTACTCGATTGTATGGTTGCATTACTATACATGTGACAATAATTTAACCCTAACTCACTCACACAAGTAAAACTTACTACAATTTGGAAAATTTTCTTTCATCATCTGACTGAGAAATAGGCTTCACACATTGTGCCCATGTGGGGAATTAAACCTGGGTTTTCGGGCATGATGAACGAACGCTTTAACCACTAGGCTATGCCACTGCCCCTTCATCATCATGAAGACTACTGAATAAAATAAAATAGAATTCTACAGCTGGTAACCCATAAAATATGATCTATGCGAAACAAAACTAAGGATCTGTAACTCTAGTCTCTAGTACTCAGCTGATGATACATGTATCTATAAAGCCTGCTGAAGATTATGCTCACAGCCATGTTTTGGCATGCAATCTCAAATGTTCAGAGCATATTCCAGGGTGTATAACCAGTATATTAGTCTTCAGCAACCCATGCTTTTGTTAGAGACAACTAACAGCAGTCAGATTTGTTGACATAGTTGATGCATCGTTTCCCTATTACGAAGATCAGTGCTCATGCTGTTGATCACTGGACTGTGTGGTGCAGACTTGGAAATTTTAACTATAAATTGTATATTTATATTCATATCATATCTCACGGTATGCACTTCTCTCTCTTCTTCGACCAAAGCATGGAAACGTGCTGTAGGCTAAGTTGAATCAAATCTTCTTGGCTTCTGTCCCACCTGACCTCTCCCCACACTCCGATTGCTGGACCTGTCAATCATCTCTGTAGCGTGCTAAGCGCTCAGAGATGGTCACGTGACATCCCACTACTTGTCATTCTCATCTTGGAGCTTTGAGCAATCTGTGATGCGGGGAAGGTCGGTTGGGAATCCGACATACAGTGAGATAGGATAAGTATATAATTATACAATTTATAGTTAAAATTTCCAAATTTCCGCAGATTACCCTGTATCTAATCCACAACTCTGAGGTCGCATAACACAAAGAGGCCAGGAGAAAGCACCAACTCCCAATATGCTAACTCCCGAACTTGTGATGGGTTGCTTCTATATGATAAACCCCTTGGCTTACACGGTACAAAAACTCTAGGGAGTGGGCGGTCCCCAATTAATGTGGTTTTCAGCTGCAACTTTTGACAAGCAAATGGACACAGTTTGGCAAGTAGGCCCCACCTCCCCACGATTTATCAGGAAGACCATGTGAATTAAAGTCGAAGACCTTAATCTGGCCAGCCCCTGCTTCGAAACCATCCCCCACAGACACACGCTGGAAGGTGGTGAAAGAGGGAACAGCCCGGTGCTCGACTGGTTCAACGTTCAGTACCAATCCCCACCAAGGATAAGAAAGGACCATAGAAAACCACATAGGTAATCGGAAAATCACCACTTTGCTGACGTAATTGCTCAGAGAGTAGAGGTCAACAAGCGGAGTGTCGACCACCTCTGCCATAAGTAGAAGATTGGCCGTACAGTCTATCGAGTCATGAGAATGACAGTACTACTAGGCCCTAGGTCAAGCTAGGTGAGGTGATCTAAGCGTAAGGAATTCAATACCAAAATAAAAGATAAGATCAATATCTTTTTTATTAAATACAGAATGCAAGACCGACGCGAAGCAGGAACTCCATCTTATCTGCGTTTGCAAACGAACAACAACTGCTGCGCCAGAACCAAGGGACCCAGTTGGTGCAGACCTTCCACGTCAGTGACAGTCAAGAATGTGTCTGACCTGCAAAAGCAACCCTCCATGAAGGCATGAAGGAAAAAGTTTCTGTGGAGCGCAATCATAGATGCCAAGGCTCTTGTTTCATGCGGGTTGGCCGTAGTAGGTTGAGGAAGGTCAGCATAAGCATAAGCACGCAGGATGGTGGATCTCATCCAAAATGCCAAAGTGGTACGAGAGACCTCTGCAGATGAGGCAGTTGACAGAGGAATAAACAGTCTCTTGCGTAACCGACGACGGTCCTTGGAGGCAGCTAAATAGACCTGTAATGCCCGGACAGGATATAGGGAGAGATCCTTGTCGTCGTCAGTGCCCAAAATCGTAGATAGCAGCGGAATGGCGAATAGTCGATCCGGCTGTCCAGGCAATTGGTTTTTGGCGACAAAATCCCACTGCAAACCATGGAAGACTTTGGCATGTCTGGTCCCCTCGTAGCACACCCGGGTGACATCCAGGGCGTGAAGCTCGGAGATGTGGGCAACAGTTGCAAGAGCCAGGAGGAAGAAAGTGTTAAACGTGACATGTTTGAAATCTTTCTCCGCCAGAGGTTCGTATTCCTCAGACGTAAGATGTCTAAGAAGCACGGTAAGATCCCAGTCTGGTGGCTGAAACTTCCATGACTGATCAGCAACCTTGTAAGATCGCAGGAGAGACTGGAGATCAGGGACAGTCGATACCTTGACACCCGTAGCCGTAGTAATAACTGGGCGCGACCAAAAGCAGCGTCATCCGCTGGGTCATGTGTAGCTTGAGAAGTACTTGGGGAAGAAGCGCCACTGGCGGAGATGCGTACGCGTTTAGGCCTTCCCACGGAATGGCGAGGGTGTCCTGTGCCCATGTCAGAGGGTTCGGGATTGGTGACACAAACTTCGGAAGCTGGGCGTTGAAGCGTGTTGCAAAGAGGTCCACTGTTGGGCTTGACATTGGGAGGCACAGAGTCTGAAAGACCTGCGGATGTAGTTTCCACTCCGTCGGCGATGGTCGAGATGAGCAGGACAGGGAATCGATGATAACCCCTGGAATGTGGTTGGCCTGTACCGTGATGTTGAGCGAGTCCACCAAGTGGAAGAACTGCTGTGTCCAATGCAGGAGTTGAGGAGACCCCCGTTGATCCCATGCGATTGCTGTACCACACGACTACAGCCGTAGAATTTTGCGGAACAGATCTCGAGGAACAAAGAGTCTGTTGAGACTGGTGCCGAACACCACGCGGATAAACTGCAGGCGGCATGTGGGGACTAGTTCCGATGTCCGCAGATTCACAAGCCAACCTAATCGGTGAAGTAGCTGAATCCTGAAGAACATATGACAAAGCCATATGTGAATAGCCATGGGGCCGAAGAAATGCCAAACAGGAGGACATGCCACTGGTAGTGGGTGTCCTCGAAGACAAACCAGAGATACTTGTGATGGTCTTGAAGGATTGGGATATGAAGGTAGGCATCCTGTAAGTCGCCCGGCTTGATGATAGTATCCATAACTGGGGAGGTTTTTTGAAGATACATCTCGTTGAAAACCTCCATATGAAGAATTAACCAGAGGACGTCTGAATCCTTTTTCAGCACAAGAAATATTGGAGAATAGAACCCTGGATCGGTGGAGGCCGAGCCGAGGGATTCGATCGCAAGCTTTTGAATTAGTGTTTCTATTGTGGTGCACAGGACAGCTGTCTGGGACGCAGAATAAGTCCTGTGAACCGGTAGAAGAGTCACAGGGGGGTGCCGATCAATGGGAGTTGAAAACCCTGGACAAAATGCGCCAACTGATCAAGTATGGGCTGGAACTGTTCTTGCATGAGGACCATGGACGCACGAATAAAGGCTTGTTGAGGTGATGAGCCATGGGTAACCAACATGGCCACAGCCTCTGATGCTATCAGTACCATTTTGAAGGGAGCCAAGATTTTCCGTACAGCAGAATCAAGATGAGAAAGCTCCCGATCCTCAACCAGGAAGGGAGAGTATGCACGGGGCTTGGTGCCCAGTAAAGAGATATCAGCATCCACAAATCCATGAACGTGGGTAGAGGCGAGGTTAAAGCAGTCCTTGACCTTCCGCAGATTGTCAAATGCCAAAGAACCAGCAAGCTGGGTGATGCATGGCCGAGGCGGGTAAAGGAGCCAAAATCCCCCTGGCGCATATCAAAGACAAAAGGAGATCCAAAGGCGATTGACTTTTGGGTAATTTGAGGGTGTCCGCTATCTAGGTCAACAACTGAGGAGTCTCTACCGCATCTACATACAATAGACATAGACATACAATCCGAAGCAGGAGAAGGTGTGGCAGAGGCAGCAACATGATCCATGGAGGCACTTGATGCAGGCTCATAACCAGTAGATTGCGTAGCAGGACCTGGGAGGGGGTCCCGACCCAATGCTGAAACCACTGCTCTGACAATAGAGTTGAAATCAAAGCGTCGAGAACTACAGTCCGTTTGAGACAAAGTGATACCGATGAAAACCCAAGGTACTCTCTGAAGCGCCGAACAGAATGAAAGCACTGCATTGGAGTGAACGCACTGTCCGTACATAGCTTCCTGATTCTGCAGTGTCTAATCCCAAAGGCAAGCTGAGCACTGATAAAAACTGTAGAAATGAGGTATCAACGCCAAAGTTGGAAGAAGTGTTGAAGGAAAACTCGCAGCAGAAAAAAACACTGTAGGTAACACAGTGTGCGAACTTGCAAACAAATTCATGATGCTGACAGTTCAGCGAACACATTCGGATCGGTGAATACTGTAGGAGCGGCGAACTGGTATGGTTCAGCGATCAGGATCGGTTCTGCGATCTTGGTTGGTTAATCGATCTGGATCGGATAAATGATCCGGTTAGGCAGTGTGATCTAAAGCGCTGAGTCAATCGAGACCGATGCACTCGTCTAAAACGTCTTACCATACAATAATGGTGTACTGGACTGAAAATGTGTTTCAATCAAACAAGAATTCACAAGGATGAATTGTTGTTCCAATCGAAAAGGCACACTGGGCTGAAGTGCTGATCCAATCGAATGCGGCGCATCGGTCTAATGAGTTTGATCGAACAAGAGCGGTGAACTGAAGTGAAACGATGCACTGGTCTCGTCTAGCGAGAGCGACGCATTGGTACAAACAAAGTGATGAATGGACAACAAGTGCCGCTCTAGTAGTAAGCGGCGCACTGGAACTAGACTGTGGAGCATAGACAGGTGGTGCAAGGTACGGCAAAAGGTGTTGAAAGCCAGTGTATGAAAGAAGGCCCGTCCGACCGCCCAAGAAGGATCTAGATTTCTGATGGATGGTCTACATTTACAGCTAGCCAGCCCGACAGTCTGGTAAATTCACCATATTTGGCCTGGTTAAATCCATTTTGGGCTGGTAACAGTTTGAAGTTACCAGCCCTGATGTCTGGCTGGACTTTTGTCTTATTTCATACACTGTGAAAGCGCCGCTGATCCCTGTGGTTGAAAGCGTCTAAATGACTGCACTCGCAGCATGAGAGTGAACGCTTCACCAAGTGCACCCACCATAACAGAGGGGTGTGGAGCACTCAACCAAAGCGGCGCACTGGAATCATCCACCTGAGGAAAACTGGGAGTCTTTGAAATCGTCACCAAGTTAGAAGGCCGAGACTGTGCTGCAGAAGTTGTTAGCACTACCACTCTCAGAGGAGATCAAACTTGTCTGGAGATGGGACTAGACGTTTGATGACGGAGATAGATCTACTCGCTCATGTAGGAGTCTTGAGGCCACCTCTAAAAATCTACGTCTAGATGCTACCCGTCGATATTCAAAAAACCATCATCATTCAAGTGTGAACAAACAGAACACCGATGTGACCAACTACAACAGCCTATACAATCCAGCGTGTGGATCAGCAGCGGAAAAGTTGCTGTTGCACTGATCACAGTGTTTGCGTTTCTTATAAGAACTTTTATTCCATTTATTTCCCATATTGACAATCAAATGTCTAACTGACAGAACAACACACGTCCACTCGGTGTAGCGACAAGAAAGAGAATGACAGGCAGAGACCGTCACGTGATCATCTGAGCGATCTGCGCGCTTATTGAGATGATTGACAGGTACTGCTATCGGAGAGGGGTCAGAGGTAGGGGGGTCAGAGGCCAGATAACTTTTGATTCAACTTAGCCTACAGCACGTTTCCACACATGGTCGTAGAAGAAGAGAGGTGCATACCGTGATAAGTTTAAAAATTATTCCTTACTTCCACATCCAGGATGGCACAGTCTGAGGTGGCGTGACATGACTCCAGTCTCCTGATTACACAGTTCACAAGTCAACATTCTCCCTGGCTCTGTGTCACGCCTCTGGAAACAGAGTAATCAAAGGACATAGATAAATGTGAAGTCAAAGAACTTAGGTGACACACACATATCATAAATATTCAAAGATGTCTCAGGAATACCTCAATCTGATTTGCTGTTTCAATTAACAATCACATACTTCAAACATATCCAGAGATTTTAAAGTATCACACAAAGTTCTTTTTTCTCATTCATGGATTGTACGCAGTATCTAAAATATCGATATATGAAGAATATGGACTGGAAAATGCTGTATTTTAGTTTGTCCGTCACATACTGAATTATTTGCCACCTGGATAAAGATGGAATATTGCCAACTGTATACTCCGACATTCTACCAATGGGAGTTCACCTCTGTCACTTCTCTGCTTGGGTCAAGCGTAAACACATCCTCCAGCCCTTCTTCATTGTACATCTCATCTTGCAAGTCAAAGTCATCAAAAGGGTCATACAGTGGCCGTGCTTCTCCAACCTCATGACGTCTCTCTGGTCTCTCATCACGACGTTCACGACCTGCAACAGGTCATTGTAATAGATATCCATGATAATCAGGATATTAAAGACCAATACGGATCAATTCAACACATATGGAGTTATCTAAATATACATCCTGATGGAGTCACAGCACTGCACCTGTCTTGAATGACAGATATTTTGTGGCCCTGAACACTTTAACTTCAAGATTTAATTACACCATTGTGTACCCTGCTTAAGTAATCAGATAAACAAGGCCTTGTTAACTTTTTATGGCAAAGAATATCAATCAACAGAACTCTTGTCTTCATAGCTGTGATACTATATGTGTATGTATTATCGAATACATCTTCAACCTTCAAAACCACTCCCAGTGACATGACAATAAAGCTTGTGATCATGATATTGGAAATGTATTTTAATTACCAGCCGTGAGGAAGCTCCTGATGTCAATGTGCCGACTACGAGTGAGACGCCGAGGTCTCCGACTGATTCTTGGCTGAGGCAACTCAAACTGCTCATCTGATGATTCATCACTTAGGGAGCCATCTTGGAAGGATGATGTGTCTGCACTGACATCCCTGCAAGTTCATCACAGACAGACATCAATATCTACAAATTTATTTTCTCCAAAGTTTTCCAACAATGACATGAAGACTTGGTTCAGTATGTTAAGCATCTAAACGCACTGATATATTGTAAAGACACTGACAGGCATTAATAATCAAAGGTAAAGCACATTCTCCAATGGCCATTACCCAGAAAACATGTGACACTCACAAGTGACCTGTGTCATATGGTTTTGCATATGGTTAGCAACTAGTTCATCAGGGATTTACAAGACGAGAATTCCTGCGTCCTATACACATAAAAATTTAACCAAACCTGAAGAGGTTTTAAATTCTTCGAAGAGAGTCGTCCTTGGGGTACATATTATGCATTTTCCAAGCTGAAAATGTCCTGTGACAGTTGTATCAATGTTTTTTGAATAAAAAGATTGTACAATAAATAAACTTTTTTATTTATTATCGGCCCCACCTACGGAGTTACCTCCCGTTGCGCATGCGCACCAACTGGGTAAGCTCCTAGGCCCGTATCATCATTCCTTCTGCTGAATATATCAGTGAACAGAATTGCGGGGAGGCGGGAGGCCCTACCCCAAGGACGACTCTCTTCGAAGAATTGAAAACCTCTTCAGGTTTGGTTAATTCTTCTTCATAGAGATCGTCCTTGGGGTACATATTATGCATAAACACAGACTCCCAAAGACCGGAGGCCAGGGAGGAGGGAATTCTGTCCAAGCACACACAAATAGCGATCGTATCATGGAAAAAAATGTAACAGACGCCATAACACTCACCTGTCACTTGTCCCAGTTGCGCTTCCGCGAGAGGCATTATGGGAGGGGAACTGACAGGGAGGAATTGTGCACAAAGACGACCTCCATACGTTTAGCATAGGCAAACGCATTACATGGTACGTAATGTCAACAAAACCCCACCCACCACGTGTCGATTATTAGTGAGCACCGAGGGGGAATGTCAAAACCGCTCACAATCGACTTAATAACTCCTGAGAGAATCGAAAGGGGGTAGTTAGCTCCTAGTAGCGGATAGTCAATAATACACATTATTGTACAGGAGCGTCAATAAACAAACCAATAAACCAAGACTCACTTGGTCAGGGTGGCAGGACACTGTCCACTGGAGAGAACAGAACGGCCAAAGCTCGCTTCGCGATTACGGGAATGCGTATCGAGCTGATAGTGCCGTGATAAAGCGTCTTGGCGGCTCCAAATAGCGGCAGAGCAGATCTCTTCAATGGGGAGTGCGATGCAAAGCCTTTGATGCGGCTACTGCCCTGACCGAGTGAGCCTTCAACCCTCAGGGGAGGCTTGCCCTTAGCCTGATAAGCGGCACAAATACGAAGCGAGCCAGCGAGACAAAGTCTGTTTGCTTTCGCTGGCACACCAGCCTTCCCGCCACCGTAACAACAGAACAGCTGGGTACCCGTCACGGATTCCCCGCGTTCGTTTGATATAGACTTTTAGCGTCTTTACGGACATCCAACGGGTGAGTGCTCGTAGGAGAGGTCCCCGATGTGGAAGGCTGGGTAAGAGTGGGAAGTTCGATAGGAGCTGTCACATGGAAAGCGTGATCGACCTTCGGGCGTAAGTATCTGGGAGGTGAATGCTGACACGATCAGTGTGAAACACAGTCAGCGCCGGGTCGGACGACATAGCATGTAAATCGCCGACCCTACGTCCAGATGTTACCGCCACCAGAAAAACAGCCTTCCAAGTTAACAACTGAATGGAAATAGCCGATAGGTGTGAGAAAGTTGGACGGACAGCCAATCGAGCACAATTGACAAATCCCAAAGGTGGACTGGTTAGCCTGAGAGCAGGTCGAACCCGTTCCGCCAGCCAGCGGCGCTGTATGAGAGAGGGTGCTGCCCCAGAAGAGCACCATCGACAGGGGTGTGAAAAGTGGAAATAGCAGTGGAGTATACGAATGGTGAAGCCGCCAGGCCTTCTTCCAAACGAGCTTGCAAAAACTCCAATACTCGGACTAAATCCGCAGAAAAGGGATCTGCAATGCCCCTATCTGAACACCAGCGCGCATAGCGGGACCACCTATCCTCATACTGAACGTTTGTCGAATCCTGCCTCGAAGCCAGAATTGTGTCTGCAACTGCTGCAGGAATTCTGCGTGCCTCGAGGTTAGACCTGACAGAGGCCAAGCCACCCACTGAATCCGTGGATTTGGGTGGGGCGCTCCGTTCTGAGTGAGAATGTCCGGTCGTAAAGGTAATAGAACAGGAGGCTGAGCCAGAAACCTGAGAATTACCGAAACCAGCTCTGTGGACGGCCAAAGCGGTGCCAGTAGCACAAGCAGCCGAGCTGGCTGGGTGGACAGCTGTGAAAGGACACGGGGAATGAGTGGTAACGGCGGAACGCCAGAGCACTTTGCCCGTCCAATCCAGCAGGAAGGCGGCCGGCAGCCAACGCCCCTGGGTCCGGTATTCGAGAGCAGAATGCGGGTGTCTGATGCGTCCCGCTGGGCGCAAACAGATCCACCTGGAGCGACCCGTACAACTGGGAGATTACTCTGAAAATCTGCTTGTCGAGCTTCCACTTTCGTCGCGGGGCCAGGATCCGGGCGAGAAGCGGCGTCTGCTCGACGCTCTCCAGCCCGGGGAGATAAACAGGGAGTACCTGACAATCGCACTGGTCACACCAGAGGAGAAAATCCCACACCTCCCGGAGGAGCGCTGGGGACACCGTGTCGCCCTGCTTCAGGATGTACGACATGGCCGTCTGGTTGTCCAACTGAAGACGGACTACCTGGCCACGGACATGCTCTCTGAAGCGCTCGAAAACCAACCGCACAGCTCTCAGTTCCAACACGTTGATGTGAAGGTGGGCTTCGGCTTCGGACCAGAGTCCGGACACCGACAGACTGCCCAGAACACCCCCCCAGCCCGTGAGGGACGCATCGGTCTGAACTGTGAGAGCTGGCCTCGGGATTTCCAAGGGGATCCCCCTAGTGAGATTCCCGACATTGGTCCACCACTGAAGGTGAGGTGTCAACCACCCGGGGACTGTGAGACTGCGCTCCAGATCCTCCGTGTGAGCCCACAGCCGAGCCAAAGCTTGCTGTATAGGGCGCATCCTCAACCGCGCCCCCCACACTACAGAGATCGCCGCCGCCATATGGCCCAGTAGACGGAGCCAAGTCCGTGCTGGTGCCTGGGGCTGGGAGAGGAACGAAGATACCACCTCCCGAACTCTGGTGATCCGGTCGGGCGACAAGGAAACGAGATCCTTGTTTGTTTGGAATCGCGCCCCAAGAAAAACCAAGTCCTGGGTGGGTACCAGGTCGGATTTCTTGAGGTTGATGATCCACCCCAGTCGAATTAGAATGTCTATCACTGTGTGAGTAGCATCTAGACTCGCTGGCTGTGTTAGTGCTCCGAGCAACCAGTCGTCGAGGTAAGGGTAACAACGCCTTCCTTGCGAGCGAGCGAGGGTAGCCGGGACTAACATGAGCTTGGTGAACACCCTTGGGGCAGTCGATATGCCGAAGGGGAGCACCCTGAATTGGTAACACATCCCGTCGTAAGAGAACCGAAGGTACTGCTTGAACGATGGATGTATGGGCACATGCAGATACGCATCCTTGAGGTCGATTGACGTGAGCCAATCGCCGGGCTGAACAGATGAGATCACCGGCGCAGTGTCTCCATCTTGAAGGATGGTACTTCTAGCATGCGGTTCAACCCCTTGAGGTTGAGAATGGGACGGAACCCGCCGTCTTTCTTCGGGACGAGGAAGTACGTGGAGTAAAATCCCGCCTGTTCCTCTCCCGGTGGAATGCGCTCGATTGCGGACTTGTCCAGCAGAGCCTGAACTTCGTTGCGCAATATGTCCGCCCTTGCCTGACATGACGGCACCGGAGTGCGGCGTATGCCGGTGAAGTCGGGCGGACCTCGCTTCCACAGTGGTAAATGGCCGATGCTGACGGTGGACAGCACCCAAGCATTGTTGGTAGCCTTCTCCCATTCCGGCAGGAATAGAGAGAGGCGGCCTCCCACACGGCTTGAGCTACAGCCTGATGGGTTAACGGGAGGTCGGGGCAGACCTCCCGCGCCCGCGAAAAGGCTGGGAGCTAGTCGATGAGGACTGCTCCTTGCCCCTACCCTTGGCGGACCTGTTCCTCCGCCTACCCCTACCAAGCGGCCGAAGCCAGCCGGCAGACTCGGGTGTAGGCTGCACCCCGGCGGAGGAAGGTGGAACGGGAGCGGCGGGGGCGAGACACCCGCGGGTGCTCCAACAAGGCCTTAGAGTCCTTGAAGGAGGTAGCTGCAGCGGCAGCCTCCCGAATGACCTGCTGTGCCCCTGGAAAGAGGGTCGCTCCCAGACGGAAGGCGAGGGTCAGCAAGGTCTGCTGCGTCGCTGCCGAGTACCGAGACGTCGACAGCCACAGCCTGCGCATCCCCATGACTGCGCACATCACCGTCGACGCAGCAGACCGCAAAGAGTCGCGCGCGAGGTGTGCCTGTACTTTCGATAGCTGACGGAGCAGCACGACATGCGGCGAAACGTCACCAGCATGCCCCTCCGCCTCCAGGGCCGACCTCTGTATCGAGGAGAGGTAGGCCTCATGGACCACCACCCTGACCTGCTGCATAGCGTTCCGGTAGACCTCCTCGTAGGTCCGGTACGCATGCCTCAGGGGGGCGCCTGCGAGGGCAAACGGTGGAGTAACACGCCCTTGCCGAGCAGCCGGAGCTGCTCCGGAGGAAGCCGAGCCTCCCCCCAGGGCGACGGAAGTGAAAACACACTCGTCCACGATGGGTACCACGAACAGGGATTCCTCCCCAAGCTGGTATCTCCGTACAAGCTCCAGCAAGTCGAACCGGACACGGGAACCAGACAAGAGGGGATCAACCACGTCCTGTACCAACGAGGGCAGAATGCGGAGCTGCGTCTGCGTAGGCTGCCTAGGGGCAAACGCCTCGCCTGGCAAGCGGAACTCAGCCGAGTCCGAGCTGCTAACAGGCACCGCGGCCTGGGGCA